TACTTTGAACTGGATTTGTTTAACTCTGCAATTCTCTGTTTAATAGTGTCATCAAAAGACATTTGAGAGGCTCCTGGGTGGCTCAGTCAGGTTAAGCCTCTGACTCTTGATTTTGGGTCTCAGGGTTGATGAGTTTGAGCCCCGTGTTGGATTGGGATTCTCTCTCTCTTCTCTCTCTGCTCCTCCCCCACTGACATGGGCTCTCTCTCTCTCTCAAAATAAACAAACTAAAGAAAACAACAACGTTCGGTGCAGTAGTGTTTACTTACTTTTTCAACGAATATTTGGTATAGGGCACTGTGGAGAATAGAGACTGATGCATACAGTGTGTTCCTTGACCACTATTCCTTAAGAGGCAGCATATAGATGTCATTCATGCAATCCTTAAAAACGTCAGTGATGTGCCCAAAATGCCCTTAATTTTCCTTAATGGCCCATTTTAAAGCTTTTATTTAGGAATTTCTATAAACCCTTCTTGAACATATCTGAAATGAAAATATCAAAGTGACTTCATTAAAAATAAAAGTGCCTTGGGGCGCCTGGGTGGCTCAGTCAGGTGAGCATCCAACTTTCAACTCAGGTCATGATCTCACAGGTCATGAGTTAAAGCTCCGCATCGGGCGCTCTGCTGTTAGCAAAAGATCCTCTGTCCCCCTCTCTCTCTGCCCGTGCTCCACTTGCATTCTTTCTCTTAAAAAAAAAAAGTGTCTTCATAAAACACTTCTTTATTTTTATTATTTTTAAGTAAGCTCCACGTTCAACATGGGGCTTGAACTCATGGCCTCTAGGTTGCATGCTCTATGGGCTGAGCCAGCCAGGCACCCCATAAAAAATTTCTATCAAATAAAATATATTTTTTAGTGTTATTTATTTTTTGAGAGAAAGAGTGTGAACAGGGGAGGGGCAGAGAGAGAGGGAAACACGGAATCTGAAGCAGGCTCCAGGCTCTGAGCTGTCAGCACAGACACCAACTGTGAGATCATGACCTGAGCTGAAGTCAGGTGCTTAACTGACTGAGCCACCCAGGCACCCCTCAAATAAAATATTTCTTAATTTTTTGTTACCTAGCGGTTTCTTGGTTTTTCTTGTTATAACAGAAATTGACAGTGAGGAGCCACCAGAAGCTCACTCTATTTTCTCTAAAGAACTCCCCCTGGGGTGCGTGGGTGGCTGAGTTGGTTAAGTGTCTGACTCTTGGTTTCAGCTCAGGTCATGGTTTCATGGGTTCGAGCCCCGCATTGGGCTCTGTGCTGGCAGGATGGAACCTTCTTGGGATTCTCTCTCTCTTTTTCTGTATCCCTCCCCCATTCAAGCTCTCTCTGTCTCTCTCAAAATAAATTTAAAAATTAAAAAAAAAAAAATGCCCCCTGCTTCCCAACATCTCTCAACACAGAAAGCATGCTTTCTAATTTTAAATATGTAAGCAATGGATCATGGGAATCCACTCCTGAAGCCCAAAGCACAGTGTATACAGTGTATGTTAGCTAGCTTGACAGTAACTTATATTTAAAAAATAAATAAATAATAAATTTAAAACTAAATTAATAAATACCAGGACTTAATGAACAAGTTCACACTTGTCCCTCCAGTTTCTTTCAGCAATTTTTTGATATATCCTCTTATTTTGACTTTCTAGATGTAATATCCTGGTTCTCCCAGTCTCATCTCTTAAGTTATTCATTGATGGATGCCTTTGATCATGTGTTGCCTTCTCCCAGACTTCTGTCTTCCTTTCATTGTTTCTGGAGCAATATTCAACATTCAGGCATGGATTCACTATAATTTTGTGAAAGTAAAAGTTGTTTTCTAAAGATTTCTTCAGTAATTTGTATCACCCAGTGTGGGTAAATTTCAGGCTTCTTGGGCTCCATTTCAGGCTGCTATTTAAATGCAACGATACATTGCATCAGTTTCTTTCCAGAGTAATGATTACTGGCTTAGCCAGAGCCCCTCATTCCTCCTCTTCTCCCTTATCTAGGCTGAAGCTTATTTTGCACTTTTTATGTTCTTGAGCAAATGGATGCAGAAAAAAATAGGTAATTGTTGACCAGTGTGTTAAAGCAGTAAGTAGACATTATTATATCAGCACAGTCATATTCCCAGATGTAGGATACTCTTACCTAATGATTAATTACTCTTACTAATGATTAAACAAATTGGACTCACCTAAATGATGTCACATACAGGTTTAGCCTTACACATTTCATCTAGCCATTCCCTAATTTGAAAATGAGTGGGCTGGACTAAGTGATCTTTAAAGCCCTCACCAACTGTAAAATTTTACTGATTCTCCTAAAACAGGAAACTGCTACCCAAGGATGACTTTCCTTACTGCTTGGTTTTGCCATTTAGTATTTAAATATTGTTTGGAGAAACATATGTCACAACTAACATAGAGATATAGATCATAATTAGGTTATTCTGCTGGGAAGAAATGCAGAATATTTTGAGGATAATATATTTGCATCTAAAATTATAATTGTGGAAGGACTCATTTTTTTTTTCAAAAACCTCACATATAAAGGGTGAGAGGAGGGGTGAGTGGACTTTTGTCCTCAGGCACCAATCTTTAGAAATTCTAGCATCAGGGGCGCCTTGGCGGCTCAGTTGGTTGAGCATCCAACTCTTAATTCAACTCAGGTCATGATCCCAGAGTTTCGGCATCAAGCCACCCCTCCTCTTTCTCTCTCTCTCTCCCCCTCTCCCCACCTCAAGTTCTCTCTCTCTCTAAAAATAAAAATGATAAGAAAAGAAAAAAGAAAAGAAAAGAAATCCTATGGGTGCCTCAGTTAGTTGTGTCTGACTCTTGATTTCAGCTGAGGTCTTGATCAGCTCAGGTCATGAATTCAAGCCCTGCAATTGGGCTCTACGCTGAATGTCAAGCCTACTTTATTATTTTTTTTCTAATGTTTTATTCATTTCTGAGAGAGAGAGAGAGCGAACAGGGGAGGGTCAGAGAGAGAGGGAGACACAGAATCCGAAGCAGGCTCCAGGCTCCAAGCCAGCCGCCAGCACAGAGCCTGATGTGGGTCTCAAACCCACGGGCCATGAGATCATGACCTGAGCTGAAGTCGGATGCTTAATTGACTGAGCCACCCAGGCACCCCAATGTGAAGCCTACTTAAAAACAAAAAAATCACATGGGGCGCCTGGGTGGCTTAGTCGGTTAAGCGTCCGACTTTCGCTTAGGTCATGATCTCGCGGTTCGTGGGTTCAGGCCCCGCGTCGGACTCTGTGCTGACTGCCAGCTCAGAGCCTGGAGCCTGTTTCAGTCTGTGACTCCCTCTCTCTCTGACCCTCCCCTGCTCACGCTGTCTCTCTCTCTCTCTCTCCTAGAAATAAATAAAACATTAAAAAAAAAAATCACATGGGGCACCTGGATGGCTCAGTCAATTAAGCATCCAACTTTGGCTCAGGTCATGATCTCATGGCCCGTGGGTTTGAGCACCATGTCAGGCTCTGTGCTGACAGCTCAGAGCCGGGAGCCTGCTTCAGAGTCTGTGTTTCCTTCGGTCTCTGTCCCTCCCCCTACTGGTGCTCTGTTTCTCTCTTTCTCTCAAAAATAAACAAACAATAAAAAATTTTTTAATTCACCATTTTGATCATATTAAAATGTACATGTTAGGTGTGCCTGGTGGGCTTAGTTGGTAGAGCATGTGACTCTTGATCTCAGAGTTGTGAGTTTGAGCCCCACGGTGGGTGTAGAGATTACTTAAAATCTTTAAGAAAAATAAATGTACATATTAAAATGTACAATTCAGTGGCATTTAGTACATCCAATATGTCTTGTGACTATCACCACTATTTAGTTCCAGAACATTCCATCATCAAGACGAAACCCTATCTAAGCATCAGTTTTAAGGAGAGAGGGAGCAAATGTATTTCATGGACCCTTGAATATCATTTCTTCTTCTGATTCTACTACCTATAAAATGAAACATTAATTCTACTCAAAGTTTTAAAAAAAATCAAAACTAGTGAAACTAGATCTTGAGAATACCTAGAGTGTTCAGTAATGAGACACAGTGCTATCTAAGGTCAACTAATGTATTCCTGTCTAGTATGTTATAGCTTTATCTTATGGGTAATCTTTCAAAATCTTTTTAACTTCAAAGTCTTTTTAACTTTTCTGTTTATGCACTAAACAATATGATACTAGTTTCATTTTTCTTACAATATGATTCCATAATTTGTTTTCCAAAGGATTATCTGCTTAAAAGTATTCTAAGCCTACTTGCACTGTAGTTAGCTAAGTGATATTCCATGTGCTAACAAGCCCAGGAGTAATAATTCATAAGACATACATTACAGAAATGTTCTTATTTTGAGGCAACTGGGTGGCCCAGTCAGTTAAGCGCCCAACTTCGCTCAGGTCATGATCTCACACTTTGTGGGTTTGAGGCCCGCGTTGGGCTCTATGCTGACAACTAGGAACCTGGAGCCTGTTTAGGATTCTGTGTCTCCTTCTTTCTCGCTGCCCCTCCCTCGCTCATGCTCTCTCTCTCTCTTTCTCAAAAATAAACAATCATTAAAAAACAAAATGAAAAAGAGAAATGTTCTTATTTTTATTTCATTTTTTTCAAATGTTTATTTTTGAGATAGAGAGACAGAGAGCACGAGCGGGGGAAGGTCCAGAGAGAAAGAAGGCCACACAGAATCTGAAGCAGGCTCCGGGTTCTGAGCTGTCAGCACAGAGCCCAACTCGGGGCTTGAACTCACAAACCATGAGATCATGGCCTGAGCCGAAATTGGATGCTTAACCAACTGAGCCACCCAGGTTCCCCTAGAAATGTTCTGTTCTTTTTTTTTCCTTTTAAGTAGGCTGCATGCCCAGCATGAGTCTTGAACTCACAACTTGGGATTCAAGAGTCACATGCTCTACCATCTAAGCTGCCCCATTGTAGAAGTGTTTTTGGAGGAATTGGGCCACTCATTCCTTTCTTTAAAAGAAAAAAGAATTTATTTTATTATTTTATTTATTTACTTATTTTACAATGCAGAGACCTGGCAGTCACCACATTGGCAAAGTAATCCAGTCTAGCATCCCCAATAGTGGAACAACACATGTGTCTCCATGAGATTTTGGTGCCTAAACTCAGGATCATTCTTATCTTAAAGGTAAGATTTTTTTCCAGTGTTTTGTTAATTATTATTGAATATGCTTTCACCACAGTGCTCTCCTTTTTCAAATGATACTTTTGAAATATTTTAACATTTAAGTTTTTCTTCTTTCTTTTTTTAAAGTAAATTCTGCCCCTAACATGGGGCTTAAACTCATAACCCCAAGATCAAGGGTTGCATGCTCTACTGACTGAGTGAGCAAGCCAGATGCCCCCATTTTAGGTTTGGGTTTTTTTTTTAATGTTTATTTGTGAGAGAGAGACAGAGTGCGAGTGGGGAAGGAGTGGAGAGAGAGGGAGACACAGTCAGAAGCAGGCTCCAGGCTCTGAGCTGTCAGCACAGAGTCTGATGCATGGCTCAAACCCATGAACCGTGAGATCTGGACGTGAGCTGAAGTCTGGCACTTAACCGACTGAGCCACCTAGGTGCCAAATTTAGTTTTTGTTTAAATAAATTTATACTTACATAAGATCTGAAAGAATAATTTACCAAAAGGAATCAATGTCTTTTCCTGGGTTCATTTTTAAATAAATTTATCTATTTCTTCTAGAAATTGGTCTGTTTAAGCTTTCTGTTTCTATGAAGGGAGGGAAATACTAATAACAGGAAACATTTTTTTTAATGTTTATTTATTTTGAGAGAGAAAGAGAGAGAGAGAGAGAGAGAGCAGGTGTGTGAGTGGGGAAGGGCAGAGTGAGAGGGAGAGAGAATCCCGAAATCCCAAACAGGCTTTGCACCATCAGCTGAACGTAGGGCTCCATCACATGAACTGTGACATCATGATCTGAGAAAAATCAAAATCAAGAGTCAGACACTTAACTGACTAAGCCACCCAGGTGCCTGAGGAAACATATTTTAATATAAGAAAGCATCAGCTGACACTTCCAGTTCAAATCCTACCAACAGAGATTTTCCTCACCTTCCCTTATTCCATTTTTCTATCTTTCTTTTCTCACAATGAAAAATATGGGTTCCCAACATCCATTATTTCCATTCACGATTTTTTTAAATGGTTATTTATTTTTGAGAGCGAGAGAGACAGAGTGCAAACAGGGGAGGGCCGGAGAGAGAGGGAATCACAGACTGAAACAGGCTCCAGGCTCTGAGCTGGCAGTCAGCACAGAGCCCGACACGGGGCTCGAACCCACGAACCACGAGATCATGACCTAAGCAAAAGTCGGACGCTTAACCGACTAAGCCACCCAGGCGCCCCTGTTTAAATTATTTTAAATAGACAACAAACATTGATTTTTATTTATCTATTTATCTGTTTATATTTATTATTATTTTTTTTAATGTTTTATTTATTTTTGAGAGAGAGACAGCATGAGCAGGGGAGGGTCAGAGAGGGAGAGAGTACCCCAAGCAGGCTTCATACTTGCAGGGCTTGAACTCATGAACTGTGAGATGATGACCTGAGCTGAAAACAAGAGTCAGACGCTTAAAAGACTGAGCCACCCAGGTGCCCCTTTAAAAAAAATGTTTAGGGGCACCTGGGTGACTCAGTCGGTTAAGCGTCCGACTTCGGCTCAGGTCATGATCTCACAGTTCGTGGGTTGGAGGCCGTCATCGGGCTCTGTGCTGACAGCTCAGAGCCTGGATCCTGCTTCAGATTCTGTATCTCCCTCTCTCTCTGCCCCTCCCCTGCTCACGCTGTCTCTCTCTCTCTCTCTCTCAGAAATAAATGAAAACATTAAAAAACTTAAAAAAAATGTTTAGTGTTTATTTATGTATCTGGTTTTTGTTTTTGTTTTTAACTAGGTCCCATACCCAGCATGGGGCTTGAATTCTCAACCCTGAGATTAAGAGTCACAGGCTCCATAGACTGAGCCACTCAGGTGCCTTAGATTATATCATTTTTTAAGTGTTTTTCTTTTGCAAGTTTTTTTTTAATGTTTATATTTGAGAGAAAGACAGAATATAAATGGGGAAGGGACAGAGAGAGAGGGAGACACAGAATCTGAAGCAAGTTCCAGGCTCTGAGCTGGCAGCACAGAGCCCAATGCAAGGCTCGAACTCATACAGGAGATCACGACCTGAGCTGAAGTTGGATGCTTAACCACCTGAGTCACTCAAGCGCTCCTGCAATTTTTTTAAAAGAAAATAATAATCAGTCTATTTTCTTTTTGTTTAAATGTATTTATTTTGAAAGAAAGAAAGTGCTCATGCAAGTGGGGGAGGGGTGGAGAGAGATGGGGGAGAGAGAATCCCAAGCAGGCTGTGTGCTGTGAGCATGGAGTTTGACATGGTGCTCAAACTCACTAATGGTGAGATCACGAGTAGAGCCAAAATCAAGAGTCAGACACTTAACTGACTGAGCCTCCCAGGTGCCCCTCTTTTGCAAGTTTTAATATCATTATTCCACTGAATGGATTGCCATGATATGATTTTACTAGTCTCCTGTTGATGGACTTCTAAGTTGCATCAATAAGGAATGCTATACATATTTTATACATATAAACATTTTTATACGTATTTGTGAATATTCATGTATACATGCCCACATGCATGTATATCTAAAGTATATTCCTGAAAGTGGTTATTTAAATTTAAGACCAAATAAAAGTAAATAAATAAATTTAAGACCAACCTTTTCATACTAGTTTGGCTACTATTAAGTAAAAAAATAAATGTTTTGGTATATTCTAAGATGCATTAATAATCTAAAATGTCAATTAGGTTTTTAAATGTATTATTAGTATTCTGTTGCTCAAGAGATGACTGATGATTCTAAATCTAAATGCCCAATTCAGATTTGGATTACTATATAATATCAATGTAACTTCAACTCAAATTTAGGCCTATTTCTATGAACATTGATTTTAAGACTTAGTAAAGTTTGGATAATCTGTTGGAGTGGTCTGGTTAATTGAATTTTGTCAATTGACATTTGGTTAGAAAGTCCTTTTTTTTTTTCAAAGTTTATTTATTTATTTATTTTTGAAATAGAGAGAGAGGATGAGAGGGAGGTGCAGAGAGACCAAGAAAGAGAGAATTCTAAGCAGGCTCTGCACTGCCAGCATGGAACCCAATGCGGGGCTTGAACTCACAAACTGCAAGACCATGACCTTAGCCGAAATCAAGAGTCCAACGCTTAACTGACTGAGCCACCCAGGCCCCCTGAAATAGTACTTTCTTTTCTTTTTTTTCTTCTTTATGAGACTGACGCGCTGCCCGCTGCGCTAAGAAGGCACCTATTTTTTAGAGAGAAAGAGTGTGAGCAGGGGAGGGGCAGAGAGAGATTCCTAAGCAGGCTCTTAACTGACTGAGCCGCCCAGGTGCAGCACCCCTTTATTTCAACTCTTGAAGTGAGTTTTTAAAATGTGTTAGCTTCCAACTTTTAATCCAATAAACAACTTTTAACAATCTTCACACACCTTAAAATTAAGTCTAATTGTAATTTACTGTGGAAATTATAGGACCTTTACTAAATCTCTATAGACTAAGAGGCCAAAGAATGAAAATTATTTTACTAAATAAAATTTTGGTTGTCACTTCTATCACTTTGTTTTGTTATGACACATCCGTTACCTAAAAGTAACCCTTAATTTACCAAGGACTTAATTTACTTAACTTTTATTTAAGATTAAATTTAACATTCTATTCACACCATCTCAATCTGGAAAGTTGATTCACAGAATTAATAGGATAAGCACTAAAGAAGTTCTAAGCATCACTGATGATATGAAAAAGTTTCTGTACAGCTCTCTGTAACTGTCAAAGTAGATTATAAAATTAATGTAACCCCAACTGTATGCATTTAATAAAAAATCATATTGTACACTTAAATATGGTGAACTGATTTTGTGTAAACTATACTTCAATAAAACTCATTTTATGAAATACTAGAATAATGATTAATAATAGTATGAATCCCTTTGAGTGAAAAACATTAAACCATTTAAAAATATATATTTTAAAATTTTTATTAACATTTATTCATTTTTGAGAAAGCGAGACCTAGGTGCCCCTCAAAAATATTTTTTTTAAATTTTTTTTAATGTTTTATTTATTTCTAGGAGAGAGAGAGAGACAGCGTGAGCAGGGGAGGGTCAGAGAGAGAGGGAGTCACAGACTGTGAAACAGGCTCCAGGCTCTGAGCTGGCAGTCAGTACAGAGCCTGGCGCCGGGCTTGAACCCACGAACCGTGAGATCGTGACCTAAGCGAAAGTCGGACGCTTAACCGACTGAGCCACCCAGGCGCCCCTCAAAAATATTTTTAAATGGGAGCATCTTGGTGGCTCAGTTGGTTAAGCGTTCGACTTCGGCTCAGGTCATGATTTCATGGTTGGTGGGTTCGAGCCCCGTGTCTCTGTGCTGACAGCTCGCTCAGAGCCTGGAGACGGTCTTTGGATTCTGTGACTCCCTCTCTCTCTGACCCTCCCCTCTCACGCTGTCTCTATCTCTCTCTCAAAAATAAATTTAAAAGACATTTAAAAAATAAAAAAGAATATCTGTGTTTTAAAAAAATATGTTTGAAACGAAACAGTAAGACAAATCATGGCTTGCATTCATGTCTTTTCAGTCTCCTTTAATCTGGAATCTTCCTCAATTTTTCTCTTCCATGACATTGGGATTTTTGAAGCATACAGATCAGTTACTTTATAGAATGTCTCTTGACTGGGGGTTATCTGGTTTTCCTTATGATTGGAGTCGTTATATAGTTTTATGGAATGGAACAAGTGATATTGTCCTTAGTGCATCCCATCAGGAAGCATATGATGTCCGTAGTCCCACTACTGGTGATGTTAATTTTGTTCACTTAGGTAAGGGGCGTCTGCCAGGTTTCCCTGGTGTAAAACTATACAGACTTTCCCCCTTTGTAATTAGCAAGTAGCTTGCAGGGAGAGATTTTCAGACTATGTGTTTCTCATTTTCCTTAAAACTTATACCTTTGGGCTCCAGGGTGTGGTTTAGTCAGTTAAGCCTCTGACTTCAGCTCAGGTCATGATTTCACGGTTTGTGAGTTTGAATCTCACACCCGGTGAGCT